TTTTTTTTTTTTTTTTTTTTTTTTTTTTTTTTTTTTTTTTTTTTTTTTTTTTTGTCAGATGATCCATCTCCACTTTTTTTCTCTTGCAAATTTGAAGAGGGTTCATCGATTTCTGGTTCATTTGTGTCCTTTTCACCATGTAATGATGGCTGTGAATGTTACTGAAAACAATGGTCACTACAGGCCACTCTGTGTATGTTTACTACTAATAAGATAATGTCAGAAACAACTTGATTCCTGAATAGCCTTGTCTCTTGTTTCTGTATCCCTTTATATAGCCCAAGGTGTAACAGATGCAGTGCAAACAGATGCATTGCATTAGGGTTAAACACTGCAAAGTATGAGTTTACCTGTGTAGTGCTTTTTTTTTTCTTGTCTTTGTATTTTGATTATAGATGACTTTCAAAATTTTTATCTAGAAAAATTGATTGCAGCAATGTTTTTCTAGATCCATATGCTCAACTTCTTCTTGAGGCTATGAAGCAGTCTGGTTGGTATGTAAACTAATTCATCTTGTTCTGTGTAGTAACATCACCGTTATATGGAGATACTGGTCTTTTTCAAATTCTTCCCTGTAACTTTGCTTGTTTGGGCCTTGCAGCACTGTCTTCAATGACCGGCACTTTGCTTGTGAAAACTGTGATGGCTGTGTCAGTGGAGGTTTTGATTCTGCCACATCTCAGGTAGGCACTAGACATTGTCCTCTTTGAAAGGACTACAATTTTTTTTAGTGCTTTGTTACTAGGATTAAAACGACTAATGTTGATACCCAAGTTAGTGATGAAAACAAGATAAATGAAAGATGTTCCATGGTATTGGAGCTCATACAGTGCAGAATGATGAGGTTGTTAATGTTGAAAAGCACTGATGTGAAGAGTCTAAACAGTGTAGGTGATGTGTGCTGGGTCTCTAACAAGTAAGGGAGATGCTGAAACTTGGTGAAAACACTATCTCTATCTTTTCTTCTACAGATTGTTCTGTGTCAGAACAACATTCGCCAACAATCCCATATGAACCGGGTGGTCACACATGAATTGATTCATGCATTTGATCACTGCCGTGCACATGTTGACTGGTTTAAAAATGTCAAACACTTAGCATGTTCAGAGGTAAGTTAAAATGCTTCTGAAGTTGTCATCACATTAATTACTGCTGGTTATTAGGGATGCTTCATGTTTAAATAGGCATGCTGTTACACAGACTTCATTTGGTTGAATCTTGTTAATACATTTTGTCTTTTCTGTCAGATCAACCAAAACAGTTTCACTCAGACAATAAATACTTAGTTTTCACAAATTTTCATAAGTCAGTGTCATACTGAGTAGAATGCGATCACTGTGAGTGTTACTATAACAAGAAGTGGTTATTAACAAATTAGAGTAGTTAGAGATGAAAATGCATTCACACATTAATCAAATGCTTAAAGAGTTCTTCTCCCTTGCAGATCTCTGTATGTTGGTTAGTTGTCACAGTAGTATGGTAACCTTCTTTTTGTTCAGATTTTTTCGGTTAAGAGCAAACTTGCCTTTTCCTATAACATTTTTTTATTAATTATTGTATTGCTAATAATACATTTTAGTTATGACTCTGTGACTATTTCAAAGGATGTAGGAATTTGATGCTTGAAAGGCCGTAAAAATTGATGCATTAGGAGGTAAAATTAAACTGAGCACAGGGTAGTAAGGGTTCATCTTGTGTACACGACTTGTGTGTATTCACATGCATTTAGTTGATTTCTGATGTTATCTGTATGATTTGATGACACAAAAAGCTTACCAATATGATTAATATTATAAAAGTACATTCTTGTGACTGTGTGAGTTGGGTGGCTTTTTAACTTTTTTAAAAAATACATAAAGTGATGCAAAAATGTTATAGTGACTTTATTTTAGGTTTTGTTAGTTTGTTTGAATTTTTTAAATAAGAACATATTTGATTCCAGACTTAAGATGAGCACAAGTTTCACCTAAAAAGAGTATGTGAGAGAAACAAAAGGGTGAGTTTGGTACAGAACAAATCAGATTTCATAAAAATTAATTTTAATTCATTAATTGAGTTCATATTTGCTGCGGAAGAGAGTCGCAGTCTCTAATCTCCAAGTGCAGCACTGATGAGTGGCATTCCTCAGGGGTTGGTGTTGGGACCAGTGCTGTTTAACATCTCTGTTGGAGAGACAGACAGTGGTATTGAGTGCACCCTTAGCAAGTTTGCCAACGACATCAAGCTGTGTGGTGCAGTCAACACACTGGAGGGAAGGGATGCCATCCAGAGGGACCTGGACAGGCTTGAGAATTGGGCCTGTGCAGGCCTCATGTAGTTCAGCAAGGCCAAGTGCAAGGGCCTGTACATGGGTTGAGGCAACACAAATGGAGTCAGAGAGATGACTGGATTGAGAGCAGCCCTGTGGAGAATGGCCTGGGGATATTAGTGGGTGGAAAACTGACTATGAGCCAGCAATGTGTGCATTGTCGCAGCCCAGAAAGCCAAACATACCCTGCACTGCATCAAGAAAACTAGCCAGCAGCTCAAGGGAGGTGATTCTCTCCCTCTACTCCACTCTTGTGAGACCCCACCTGGAGTATTGTGTCCAGCTCTGGGGCCCCCAACATAAGAAGGACACGGACCTGCTTGAGTGGGTCCAGAGGAGGCCATGAAGATGATCAGGGGGCTGGAGCAGCTCCCTTATGAGGACAGGCTGAGAGACTTGGGGTTGTTCAGCCTAGAGAAGAGAAGACTCCAGGAAGACATTATAGCAGTCTTCCAGTACTTAAAGGAGGCCTACAGGAAAGATGGGGAGGGGTTCTTTATCAGGGAGTGTAGTGAAGGGGTGAGGGGTAACAGTTTTAAACTGAAAGAGGGTAGATTTAGATTAGAGATAAGGAAGAAATTCTTTATTGTGAGTGTGGTGAGACACTGGAGCAGGTTGCCCAGAGAAGTTGTGGCTGCCCCCTCCCTGGCACTGTTCAAGGCCAGGTTGGACGGGGCTTTAAGCAACCTGGTCTAGTGGAAGGTGTCCCTGCCCATGGCAGGGGCGTTGGAACTAAGGTCCCTTCCAATCCAAACGATTCTATGATTATCTTTATCTTATTAGAGATAAAATTTTATGAAGTAACTTCATGTGGCATCAGTAAATCCATTCTGTATAACTGTGGGGGGCTGACTTTGACTGGCCGCCAGGCCCTCATCAAGCCATTCTCCAACTCCCCTTCTTCAGTAGGACAGGGGAGAAAAATAACATTAAAAAGCTCATGAATAAAAGATAAGGACATTGGATGTCACTCACCAGTTACCATCATGGGTAAGAAACAATCAACTTGGGGAAAATTTATTTAACTTATTGCCAATTAATGATAGAGTAGGATACTGAGAAATAAAACTGAAATACCTTCCACCTGCCTCCCCATCTTTCCAGGTTTAACTTCTTCATTCCTGACTCTTCTGTTTCCTTCTCCCCCGTGTGTCACAGGGGAATGGGGGCTGTGGTCAGTTCATAACAATTCTCTCTGCTGCTCCTTCTTCCTGATGCTGTTGCCCTGCTCCAGCATGGGGTCCTTCCCACGGAATCACAGAATCATCTAGGTTGGGAAAGACCTTGAAGAACATCTAGTCCGACCATTAATTTAACACTGACTATTCTCAACTACACCATATACCTAAGCACTATGTCAACCCAGCTCTTCAACACCTCCAGGGGACCACCACTGCCCTGGGCAGCCCATCCCAATGCCTAAAATCCCATTCTGTAAAGAAATACTTCCTAATACCTAGTATAAACCTTCCCTGGCACAACTTGAGGCCATTACCTCTTGTCCTATAGCTTGTTACTTGGTTAAAGAGACTCATCCCCAGCTCTCTGCACCCTCCTTTCAGGGAGCTGTAGAGGGCGATGAGGTCTCCCCTCAGCCTCCTCTTCTTCAGACTAAACACCCCCAGTTCCCTCAGCCGCTCCCCGTACGACCTGTGCTCCAGACCCTGCACCAGCTTCGTTGCCCTTCTCTGGACACGCTCGAGTCATTCAATGTCCTTTTTGTAGTGAGGGGCCCAAAACTGAACACAGGAATCGAGGGGCGGCCTCACCAGTGCCGAGGACAGGGGTCAGATCCCTTCCCTGTCCCTGCTGGCCACGCTATTGCTGACACAAGCCAGGATGCCATTGGCCTTCTTGGCCCCCTGGGCACACTGCTGGCTCCTGTTCAGCCGGCTATCAATCAACACCCCAGTTCCCTCTCTGACTGGCAGCTCTCCAGCCACTCCTCCCCAAGCCTGTAGCGCTGCTGGGGGTTGTTGTGGCCCAAGGGCAGCCCCCGGCATTTGGCCTTATGGAAACTCCCCCAGTTGGCCTCAGCCCATGGCTCCAGCCTGTCCAGGTCTCTCTGCAGAGCCTCCCTCCCCTCGAGCAGATCAACACTCCCACCCAACTGGGTGTCCTCTGCAAACTGACTGAGGGTGCACTCGATCCCCTCATCTAGATCATCAGTAAAGATGTTAAACAGGAGTGGCCCCAAAACCGAGCCCTGGGGGACACCACTCATGACTAGCCAGGACTGGATTTAGCTCCGTTCACCACAACTCTCTGGGCCCGGCCATCCAGACAGTTTTTTACCCAACAAAGCGTGTGCCCATCCAAGCCATGAGCAGGCAGTTTCTCCAGGAGAATGCTGTGGAAACGGTGTCAAAGGCCTTGCTAAATTCAAGGTAGACAACATCTACAGCCTTTCCCTCATCCAATAAGCAGGTCACCCTGTTGTAGAAGGAGATGGGGTTTATCAAGCAGAACCTGCCTTTCATAAAGCCATGCTGACTGAGCCTTATCATCTGGTTCTCCCATATGTGTTGTGTGATGGTAGTCAGGATGAGCTGCTACATCAGCTTCCCGGGCACTGAAGTCCAGCTGACAAGCCTGTAATTTCCTGGGCCATCTTTCCAGCCCTTCTTATATATGGGTGTCACATTGGCCAATTTCCAGTCTGTCGGAACCTTCCTGGTCATCCAGGACTGCTGGTAAGTGATGGAAAGCGGCTTGACGAGCACCCCAGCCAGCTCCTTCAGCACCCTCGGGTGTATCCCATCTGGTCCCATAGACTTGTGTATGTCTGTGTGATGCAGTAGGTTACTGACTGTCTCCTCCTGGGCTTGTTCTCCCAGTCTCTGTCTTCTGGATAAGGAGGCTGGATTCCTTCAGTACAACTGGTCTTGTTATTAAAGACTGAGGCAAAGAAGTAATTAAGCACCTCAGCCTTTTTCTCATCACTCATTACCATGTTTCCTCCTGCGTCTAGTAGGGGATGGAGGCTCTCCCTGGTCTGCATAGCCTCACAGCATCTTTGTAATCATTGTGAGTGGCTAGGCCCTTCTTCCAAAGGCTGTAAACTCTCCTTTACTCCCTGAGTTCAAGCCAAAGCTCCCTGTTCAGCCAGGGTGGTCTTCTCTGCCACTGGCTTCTCTTACAGCACCTGGGGACCACCTGCTCCTGTGCCATTAAGACTTCTTTCTTAAAGAGTGTCCAGCCTTCCTGGACCCACATACCCTTCAGGACTGTCTCCCAAGGGATCCTGTCAAGCAGGTGACTAAACAAGTGAAAGTCAGCCCTTTGGAAGTCCAGTATGGCAGTTCTGCTGCCCCCTCTCCTGGCCTCTCTAAGAACACAGAACTCTATTATTTCTTGATTACTGTGCCCTAGTTGGCCTACAACCAGTACGTCATCCACCAGTCTTTCTATTCACAAAGAGGATGTCCAGCAGGGCACCTTCTGTGGTTGATTCACTCACCAGCTGCATCAGGAAGTTATCTCCCACACATTCCAGGAATCTCTGGGACTGGTCCCACTCTGCTGTGTTGTATCTCCAGCAGATGTCTGGGTAGTTAAAGTCTCCCACAAGAACAGGAGCAAGCAATTGTGAGATTTCTCCTAAGTGTCTATAGAATATTTCATCCACCTCTCTGTCCTGGTTGGGTGGCCTATAATAGACTCCCACGATGGCATCTGCCCTGTTGGCCTTCCCCCTGATTCTAACGCAAAGACACTCCACTATTGTCTCCACTACACTTGTACTCAGAGTAATCATAACAGTCTCTAACATACAGCACCACCCCACCTCCTCTCCTTCCTTGTCTATCCCTCCTAAAGAGCCACCACTTGGCACACTCCAGTCATGGGAGACATCCCACCATGTTTCTGAGATATCCACTACATCATAATTTTCCTGTTGCATCATGGCTTCAAGCTCCTCCTGTTTGTTACCCATGCTGTGTGCATTGGTATAGATGCACTTCAGAGGGACTGATGCCCCCAGCACTTTTTGCATTTAGAGGTGCTCAGTCCAGCCTGAGCTTTCACAGGTGTTACCACGGTTACTGATCCATCCATATGCCTTGCATCTTTGTTGTGCTGCATGTCTCCATCCCTTGCCTCCACTGAGATGGAAGGGTGCGGGTCATCGCTGGCACAACAGCGTAATCTACCCTGGGGCTTATTTCTGGGAGTTCCAATTTTGTCCCTTCCCCCCTTCAAATCTAGTTTAAAGCTCTCTCACAGCATACAGTCCTTCATAAACTGCTCCAACGTGGGTCTTTCCCATGGGCTGCTATTCTTCCAAGACCTGCTCCTGCTTAGGTCTTTTCCACAGCGTACAGTCCAGGAACAGACTGCTGCAGTGTCAGTCCCCCACAGGCCACAGTTCCTGCCAGAAAACCTGCTCCTGCGTGGGCTCTCCATGGGATGCAGCTTCCTTCAGGGCATGTCCTTCTGCTCTGGTGTGGGGTCCTTCTTGCACTGCAGTGTGGATATCTGCTCCCTGTGTTCCTTCATGGGTTGCAGAGAGACAACTTGTGTCACCATGGTCTTCTCCACAGGTGGCAGCGTGCTCTGGTACCTGGAGCTCACCCTCCCTCTCCTTTCTCACTGATCTTAGTGTTGATGGGGCTGTTTCTCTCACATTTTCTAATTCCTCTTTCTCACAGCTGCCATGTAGTATACTTTCTTAAATGTGTCATCACAGAGGTACCACCGGCACTGCTGATGAGCTTGTCTTTGACCAGCAGCGGTCTGATTTAGAGCCAACTGAAATTGCTTCTGTCCAGCATGGGGGCAGCCCTGTGTCTCATCTCACAGAAGCCATCCCAACAGGTCCCCCGCTACAAATATCTTGCCTCATAAACCGAATACACTAATTCAGAATTATTAAGTATCATCTACCTTTTTTTCTTGTCTAAGCATTTACACAGTGCAGAAGAAAGCATGTGAGCCTGAATCATAAAATTAGAGAACGTGCGTAAAACAAGATTGTGCTTGTGCTTGTGCTTGTTCCTGCTCTTGTTGAGATTATTCGCTTGCTTCGGGTCTTTTGATATTTTATTATATGGTCTTTACAGTTTGTATTGTCAAGTTTTTAATTCTTGCATTTCATATTTTCCATGCATTTATGCTCACTTTAATACTTAATTACAGGAAATATAATTTTAGTTTTATTTCCTAATTGAAGGGGTAGGGTGTGGAACAGTTGACAGACAAAAGAAATTACAATGCATGGGACAAGACAGTTAATGAGCCAAAACACACAGATTCATTTAAATGTGGCTTTTCCTAAAGCAGGTGGGTTACCCAGAAAAGCAGTATTGCAGCTATAGGAACTTTTGCTCATTCATTTAAGCTTTGGCAATATGTGAGACTTGGTCCCTGGAGAAATTTACAGCTTATATAGTAATACTTTGCAGTTCATTGATGCTGAGAGGGTGAATATAAAGGGTAATATGTACTTAATAAGTAGAAGTGGCCCTGGGAATAGTCTCTACCAACACACACCAGAAAGATATTGAAGAAAAAAAATGTAGTTACAGTTTTTATGATTTTACATGTACATGTGTTTCTCTGATTCTGTGGGTTTTTTTTCTCAACAGATTCGAGCTGCTAATCTCAGTGGAGACTGTACACTGATGAATGAAATAACCAGGTTTAAATTTGGATTAAAAGGACACCATCAGGTAAAGACTGTAGATGTTAAAGTCTACTGATTTGTTGTGATCCATCCTTACCTACGTGATCTCAGCCTTCTACACTTTCATAGCTGAAAACATCAGAGAAATAAGTAGATATCATGGACTTGCTGCTTTTTCTTAATTAACCTTTAATAACCTTTAATGCTTCCTGTTAAATTTTTTTTCCACCTTGTTATTTTTGTTGACATGAAATTCCTGTCTACTTAGTCATATTGTAGAGCATTACCAATGAAAATGTATGGTTAATAAGAACCAAACAAAAACCAGGGTTTGCAGGAAATGTAGTGAGAATACCTCACCCACTGTAATCAGGTAAGACTCTAAAAGGTCTTTGAAAACTAGAGAGAGGGGAATGACAGGGGTTTTAAATAACTATGTGTGTTGTCTTACAGGAATTAATTTTTGTTAATAGTAATGAAGACTACAGATTGAGTCCGAAGTAGTTGCTCATGTTAGAGTGGCATTTACCTTGTAGTTGGGGGTGTTTACATCTTTTTTTATCTTTTAAAAGACAAACTGTGTAAGCAAAAGTTGCCATAAAGGAGGCATCAGAATGAAGGCCAGTAGAGGGGTCATTCTTTAACATTTTATAGCATTCTTTAATGTTTTATAGCATTTCAGTTGGAAAACTACAAACTTATTTATGTCTGTTTGTTTCTGACATATTTTCTCTTGTTTCCAAGTCAAGTTATACAAATACTTGATACCTACAGCAGATCCCAAACTGTATTTTAATTCCTGTTCTAAGGAATGTCTTTTACTTATCTGACGGTTTATTTGCACATAGAAAACTAAAACACATAGTTAACACAAAAATGGACTTTAGTGCTTATTACAGGCTCTAAATTATTTGACTCTTCTGCGATACAGAATTATTCCGTATCTAGTAGGAGTTCATACTTGACAAAATCTGGAAAAAAATTATTTATACTAATAATGACAAATTTTTCTTTATCTTATTTCCACTTTAGACTTGTGTACGAGACAGAGCAATTCGTTCCATTTTGGCTGTTAGAAAAGTTAGCAAAGAAACGGCAGAGAAAGCTGTGGATGAAGTTTTTGATGCCTGCTTCAATGATCTGGAACCTTTTGGAAGAATCCCGCACAGTAAAACAGATGCAAAACGTGCTTATAAAGACTTTCAGAACAGAGATCGCTATAATGCTAATTTGTAAAGAGAAAAAAATGTAAGAAATTATATTAATATTTGATTGTTCTGTTACATCTGGAGTCACAGTCTATGCACGCAGTGCTGGTGGAAAGGGCAATTTTATTAAATGTATCAATTAATTTTGTAAACCTTTTCCAGGAGCCAAATTCCATGGAATTAAACAAAGTAAATGAACAAGACTAAAAAAACATGTTTCCTCAGCTGTTGTTCTGGCAGGATAATTTAGTACACCAAATGACTTGTCATGTAATGATCTGCACATTTCAATGCACATTTAATTCTGCTCAGTCAGACTAGGACTTGGTTTCTAAAAGTTTTGTTTTTACTGAATAAATATTTTTATAAAATCTTTACATTTCTACCATCCTTGATACACAGTCATAAGCGAAATGATTTCATCACTCTACTTTAAAAGATGGGTGCCTGAACTACAGCTCCTGGGTCTAGATTTAATAACTATGGCTAAACCCAGAATTTAATTAACTGCTACATTTGTTTTTGAGCACCTCCTGAAATTCTTGGAATTCCAGTTCATCTAATGTTAACTTTACAGGACATAAAACCCTTTGGCTTTTTAGGGATTTGGACGACAAATCTGCTTACTGGCTCAAACCTACAGGCTGGATAAGCATTGGTGAGAGTCTGTCCACTAGGTTGAGCTTTGCTCAAAATGTTGGTGTAGCTTATGGTCTTCTTCCTGTCCTTGTTAGGTGGGTAAGTCCATGTTAGGAATGCAGGAAGCTGCTATCTTTATCCTGCTTCTGAGAGAAACTCTCTCATTCCTCTGTTATTTCCAAATATAAGGTATTATAGTCACAGATGCAAGAGAACCACCTTAAAGGTGTGATTCAACAACAGGTACCGTTCACTGACCTAATGGAGATGTGGGTTCCCAGTCAAAGGCTTGTAGGCAAAACTGCTCTAACAGTTATTGTATTTCCCACTCAAGTGGGAAATTAAACTCCATAGAAGATGAAATGGCGCTGATTGTTACTGTTTTATACTGCAAAACAACAGGCTTTCAACTTCATACAATGTCAAGGTCTGAGTATGGGTGGTAGTGTCAGTTTTCCTGCGTAAAGTTGTTCACAACTGCAGCAACATAGAATTGCTGAGGTTGGAAAGGATCTCTGGAGACACTGCTGTTTCAATCACATGGCACAGAGCAGGGTCAACTAAAGCATGTTGCTGAAGAGTATGTCTAGATGGATTTTGAGTATCTCCAAGGATGGAGACTCTACCACCTCTCAGGTTAACCTGTCCCAGTGTTTGATCACTGTTGCAGATTTGATTGGGTTTTTCCCTCAAGTGTAAATAGGGTTTCCTGTATGTACAGACATTTTATTGGTTCTCTGTTTACTGTAAAATGCAAAAGCAGTCCTGGGAGATCTGGACACCCAGGTTCTGCAGCTCAGGTTCTCAGTCACCCAACTCCCAAAACAATGTCCCGATCACAGGACCACAGTTTCCTTTTCCTGCTCTCGCTTTCCTTGGCTCTGTGTTTTGCTATCTTCAGTTCTCTTTCTCAACAAGGTTTGGAAAGAAAGCAAGAAAAACTGGATGAGAGTGGAAGTGATGACTTCATAAATATATTGGGAGAGGTAATTTAAGACATGATACAATGTTGAACAGTTATAAAATGGTCATAGTTAATTTAAATAGGAGATTAGAAGGTGGTATATAAACATCCGAAGAGTAAATGAGATAGAAAACGAGGAATATGCATTGTTTATACTGAGGATGTAAAGTTTAGGGAAAGGTTGTTCCCAGAATGAGCAATGTTAAGTCCTTTAGTATTCCAAAAGTGAAGTGAAATTAGATTGTTGTGTGTTCATGTTTATCTGCATTTTATTTCTGTTGTAGTAATACTGTATTTCAGGATTTTTCCTGGTCATTGGCAAAGTTTGTAAAGGAAAGGGCTATTCTGCCCCTTTTACCCTCTCTACCCCCAAAGATCTCTAACTTCAGTTTCCAGTTAGGAAGCAGCACTGAGGAGGCTGCAGTGATAACTTGAATAAGGTTGAGTTAGGACGAGCTGATGGATTTGAAATCTTATATAATTCTACCTTGGTGTGTTTTACTCACATGCTCAAGGTTAATTACCATATTTGGGATCAGAAAGGGAATTTTCCTTGTTTAATTTGATGGGGATGGCTGGTATTTCTGTTGAGCCCCTGGACACTTTTTTGGACTGTTCAGGCACTAGTGCACAGCTTTACGACATTCTGTAATTTCCTCCTGAGAAGAATTCAGTCATGTAATTAGTCTCCAGCCCAATGGGCCTGCTCCTAAGGTGTCACTCAAGAACAAGCTGCATGAAGAAGGCCATAGCAAAGACAGTCACTTCCCCTGTCCCCTGAGCTGAACCAGCAGTGTGTCACCATTTCCTGAACAGCAGCAAACACTTTGGAAAGATTCAAATGTAAGCACTGTACTCACAAAGGACAAAGCAACACATCCAAACAGTGCCTGAGAGATCTGATCAAGCCTGACTTGTCCGAGTTGTTTAGTTCATGTTGGGCTACAGGTGGGTTGCATTTATTCCCAGGGGTAGCATAATTCATACCCAAAGGTACCATTTCTTCTGGGGCTAAGCATTAATGCAGATCCCTCAGAAAGTCATCCTAGTTGTCCAGGAGGAAGTAACATCTTAGCCAAGGTTCCCCAAACCTGTGCTTTCAACAGTTTAGCAGAATTTCAAATGGAGATTTCATAATCTTATTTTCTTGCGGTAATTCCATCAGTGACTGACATAATCACATGGCTCAATATCCAAACAGAAAAAAAATGGATATAATACCCTACATACCTGTGGAGAAAATTACACGTTGAATTGTGAGTTTTCCATCTTTGATGTAATCTACGTAGACCTTCTGGGTTTTTTAAAATTCTCTGAGGATCAGAGATGCCTTAGAACAGCATAATTGTGTGTGTTAATATTCCCTTAACCTTTACTGCTTCTCAGATTCCCATTTTAGTCAGTTCTGATGTTTGATGCTGAGCTTTTTATGCTACTTCTCACACATATTCTGGCAGATAATTCCTTACCTTCATTATACCTTATTAACTGAAATTCTACTGACTTGCGGAGAAATCACTCTATAACTGTGGAGTTATAAAGTAGGTATGTTTTATTCAGTGCTGGACGCATGGGGAATCGCTCCACCACAAACATGCGCATCGTTTGCAGCTCCCCTCCGGTTTATATGTTACAAAATAGTGCATATTCATAAAACACCTATACATATACATAGTCTACCCCCGCCTCCCCTCGCTTCTCATGGTAATCAGGTCTTCTCCCCTTGTGTCTGCACAGTGAGCTCTTCAAGCTCCAGGCAGAGGTCACAACTTCCTGGGGAGGGGTCGTAAAGATGAAGTACCTCTTCTTCCTCGCTGATGAACTTTTCACCCTGTCGCTCTGCACAGCCTCAGTTGTTCTCTGGCTTCTGTTGATTGCCAGGCCAGTTTGCGCTGGTGTTTGGGATAGTCTGTTACTGATACCCACAACTTCAAGGACCAGAGGAGACTTCTCTTTGGGCTAGGAGATAGTTGCCTAGCAACATTATCAGCACCTGGTATGTCTTTTCGAACAGTCCCATACGCCTCCCTTTGTTTTTGCGCAGGCCTTGCACCATCAATCTAAGATTGTTTAGATTCCCTGTCTCATTCCCCTCTTTTCTTCTTACTTAGTAAATTCTTTTACTACTTATTTATCTACTTCTTAATCTATTTCCCTTGCCCTATAATATGTTAGTACTGTCCTACAAATTAGTTAGTTTATTTCTTAAAGCTCGGATTGTGATATAAAGCGTCATACATAGCTTACAAGCGTTTTATAAGTCTCCAGATCCATACATATATAGCTACAGTAAGGATCAACAAAATTGCTACAGATATTAATAAAACAACCACAGGGTGAAGGGATGTGTTTAAGATTCCAGTAGTTGTAGGCAACCATCTGAGGAGCGTATCCCACCAATTATGTTTCCCTTTGTGCTCAACCGTCTTTAAGATTTTTTTTATCCTTTCCCCATCATGAAAGGTTGTGAGTAAAGTTTCTTGCCCTTTCTCCTTGACTTTTTTTAACAGGTCAAAGGCTCATATAGCCTCCTTATTCCATTGGAGATTTTTCTGTTGAGTGGCAGTCAGTGCATATAAAGGTTTAACAAGCAATCCATAATTATAAATCCATAGTCTGCACCACCCAGTCATTCCCAGGAACGTTTGCAGTTCTTTCACTGTCTGTGGCCTCGGAGTCTGGCAGATCGCCTCCTTCCGAGCTTGTCCTGAAGTTCTTTTTCCAGCACTGATTTCATAGCCCAGATAAATCACTTCATGTTGCATTACCTGGGCCTTTTTCTTGGATACTCGGTAGCCCTGAAGTCCCCAAAAATTTAAAAGGCTTACCGTCCAAGCCATACAGGTCTCTTTCGTCTTGGTGGCAATCAGGATGTCGTCTACATATTGCAACAGCCTTCCCGCTTCGGGTGGGGTTGAGGCTTCTCACAGTTTGCGGTCTTTTGCTAGCTGGTTACCGAATATAGTGGGGCTATTCTTAAATCCTTGTGGCAGCACTGTCCAGGTTAACTGGGTCTTCTGTCCGCTCCTAGGATTTTCCCATTCAAATGCAAATATTTTCTGACTGGCTTCGAGGAGAGGGAGGCAAAAGAAAGCATCCTTGATGTCTAAAACAGTAAACCAGATTAGCTAAGGAGTTAATTTTGTCAATAAAGTGTATGGGTTTCCCACCACTGGGTGGAGATCTTCAGTTATTTTATTTATTGCTCTCAAATCCTGAACTCTCCTATATGACCCGTTGGGTTTCTGAACAGGTAATATGGGGGTGTTAAAATTAGATTTGAACTCTTTTAATAGCCCTATTTGCAAAAAAATTTTCTATAACTGGCTGAATCCCTTCCCGGTCCTCCTTTTTTAAAGGGTATTGTTTAATTATTACCGGTTGTTGTCCTTCTTTGAGGTTTACCTCTATGGGCAGAGCGTTCTTCGCCCTTCCAGGTGTGTCAGTGGCCCACACCCCGGGATACACTTGATTGACAATTTCCTTGCTAATTTCTCCTTCTATGGGAATACTGGTTAGAGACAAGCTCATGAGTTGTATGAGTTCTTGGTCATTTACCTCCAGAATAATCTCTTTCTTGTTAAATGTAATAGTTGCTCCCAA